TTTTTTTTAAAGAGCGGACACATTTTGTCTAAACGTTCTGATGTACTGAACATATGAGTGAGAATACCATAGATAGCAGGCGTTTTATTTATTGAAAACCCAAATGACAACATTCTAAAATGGTTAACTCTGAGCAAAGTCATCTACCATAATAACTACTTTCAATGTGCTTCGAAGACCGTCGATTCCACGAAAAGAGGAGTCACTATTCTTGACAATCCATGCTTTGATATCAGCAAGTTATCCATTTCGGACCAAATTTCAAGCCAATGGTCGGTTTCGCCTAGCTTATCTTCCATGTTAGGGTGGCCACATGTGAAATGCTCAAACCATTCTTTGCATCGAATTTCGCTGATTGTTCCTTCGCCGAAAAACTGATGACATCGCGAAATGACGTTGCTGTTTTCTATCTTTTCTCAAAGTGGTAAAGCGTATATGACGAATGTAAGTATGATTATCAATACACAATCTTGTAAAGAGAAGAAAAGATTTAAAAATTGAGCTGAACAGATTGATTTACAACTTTTATAAGATATACTATAAGAAATAAAAATTGCCCGATAATTTTCAGGTGACCAGATCGACCTACCTGGAGGCCCTACGAACAAATTTGCTTATACTCGCCGGGAACCACTTGGAGTTGTGGGATGCATCGGAGCTTGGAATTATCCTCTTCAGACTTGCACTTGGAAAGTATGTTATCTTAGTGTTTTGGGTTTGTAATTTGAAATCAAAAAATATGATTTTTTGTGATTACCCTTCTAGAAATTCAGGTGGCTCCAGCATTAGCTGCTGGTAATGCTGTCGTCTATAAGCCTTCACCATATGCGCCTGCTTCACCAGTTCTTTTGGGCGAAATCCTCGCTGCTGCTGGTGTTCCTAAGGGAATCTATAACGTAGTACAGGTTAGTGAGCATTTTTTTTTTGTTGAGCATGCAACTGACTCAGCTTCTAGCAATCATTAAATCATCTGTTCAACACAGGGAGAAGCAGAGACTGG